TCCTATCTTTACCCCTTTTATTTCTCTCTCTTGCCTAATTGCTCTGGCTAGTACTTCCAGTACTATATTAAATAGGAGTGGTGATAAAGGACATCCTTGTCTTGTGCCTGATTTTAAAGTAAAGGCTTTCAATTTTTGGCCATTTAGTATGATGCTGGCTGTTGGTTTGTCATAAATGGCCTTTATTGTATTGAGGTAAAGACCATCTATTCCAATTTTCTGTAAAGTTCTTATCATGAATAAATGTTGGACCTCATCGAAGGCTTTTTCTGCATCTATAGAAATGATCATGTGATTCTTATTTTTGGCTTTATTGAAATGGTGGATTACATTTATTGATTTGCGTATGTTGAACCATCCTTGCATTCCTGGGATGAATCCCACTTGGTCATGGTGTATAATCTTCTTGATGATTTGCTGCATCCTATTTGCCAATATTTTATTGACGATTTTTTCATCTGTGTTCATTAGGGAGATCGGTCTATAGTTCTCTTTTTTAGTTGGGTCTTTCTCAGGTTTTGGTACTAGAGTAATATTTGCTTCCAGGAATGACTTAGGAAGGATTGCTTCCCTTTCAATTTCATTGAATAGTTTGAGGAGTGTCGGCATTAGGTCTTCTTGTATTTCTTGTAGAATTCTGCAGTGAATCCACCTGGGCCTGGGCTCTTCTTGGTGGGTAAGGACTTAATTACATTTTCAATTTCATTAACAGAGATTGGGTTATTCAACAGTTTTACATCCTCTTGATCTAGCTTTGGTACTTCATATGCTTCTAAGAATCTGTCTATTTCGTCTGTGTTATCAAACTTTTGAGAGTAGAGGTTTTCGAAATAGGTGTTGATGATCTTCTGTATTTCTATTGGGTCTGTAGTGATTTTACCTTTTTCATTTCTTATTGCATGAATTTGAGCTTTTTCTTCCCTTTTTTAATAAGGTTGGCTAGGGGCTTATCGATTTTATTTATTCTTTCAAAGTACAACTCTTTGATTCGTTGACTCTTTGGATTGTATTCTTAGTCTCTATCGCATTGATTTCTGCTCTGATTTTTATAATTTCCTCTCTTCTTTTGGCTTTGCGCTTGACTTGCTCTTCTTTTTCTAGCTGTTTGAGGTGTAGCATCAAGTTATTTATTTGTATTCATTCTGTTTTCCTGATGTGGGAACTCAGTGCAATAAATTTTCCTCTCAGGACGGCTTTCATTGCATCCCACAGATTCCGGTAAGTTGTATCTGCATTTTCATTTTCTTTTAGGTATTGTTTAATTTCTTCTTTAATTTCTTCTGTGACCCACTGATTACTCAAGAGTGTGTCATTCAGTTTCCATGTGTTTGCGGGATTTTTGCAGTATCTTTTATCATTAATTTCTAATTTCAGAGCGCTATGATCCGATAACATGCAAGGGATGATTTCAACTCTTTTGCATTTGTTTAAATATGTTCTGTGAGCTAATATATGTTCTATTTTAGAGAATGATCCATGTACTGCAGAGAAGAATGTGTATTCTGATGTTGTTGGGTGGAACATTCTGTATATGTCTATCAAACCCATTTGTTCGCAGGTGTGATTCAGTTCTGTTATTGCTTTACTCATTTTCTGTCTGGTTGATCTGTCCCTTGGTGTCAATGGCGTATTAAGGTCTCCTGTTACAACTGTGTTACTGATAATTTGAGTTTTCATTTCTGTTAATAGTTGTTTTATATAACTGGGTGCTCTGGAGTTTGGTGCGTATATATTTAAGATAGTTATCTCTTCCTCTTGGAGTTTTCTCCTTAGGAGTATGTAGTGACCTTCTTTGTCCTTTATGATCATTGTTGGTTTAAAGTTCACGTTGTGTGCAAATAGAATGGCTACTCCTGCCTTTTTTTGGATTCCTGCTGCATGAAGAATTGTTTTCCATCCTTTGACTTTCAGTCTGTGAGTATCCTTCTGGGTTAGATGGGTTTCCTGTAAACAGCATATGGTTGGATTTTGTTTCTTGATCCATTCTGCTAGTCTGTTTCTTTTGACTGGTGCTTTGAGACCATTTACATTAATGGTTATTACTGTTAAGTGCTGGTTTATTGTAGGAATGTTATCTCTCTGCTGTTGCATCTTTTATCTTTCTGTTCTGTTTAATGATTTGCTTTGCTTAGTGGATTTTTCCTTTGTGTATCTAATCTGTCTTTCAATATTTTTTGCAGGGTTGGTTTGGTGTTCATGAAGTTCTTCAGCTGTTGTTTGTCATGGAAGTATCATATTTTACCATCTATTTTGAATGATAGTTTTGCAGGATATATCAGTCTAGGTTGGAAGTCATTTTGCTTTAGGATCTGGAATACTTCACTCCATGCTCTTCTTGACTTTATTGTTTGTGATGAGAAGTCTGCTGTGATTCTGATAGGTTTTCCTTTATAAGTGATCTGTCTTTTCTCTCTGACAGCTTCTAATAGTCTATTCTTGTGTTGGATTTCTGGGATGGTGATTATTATATGTCTGGGTGTAGTTTTATTTTGGTTATGACTATTTGGAGTTCTATATGCTTCACTGATCCTGATGTCGGTTTCTGATCTCATGCTTGGGAAATTTTCAGCTATTACTTCTCTAAATATCCTCTTGACATCCTTTATGTTGTCTCCTTCTTTTTCATTAATCCCTATCATTCTTATGTTATTCTTCTTTGCATCGTCTTGCAGTTGTTGAATTGTTGTTTCCTGATTCCTTGTTATTTTTAAAAGATCTTTCCTTTCCTGTTCACTAGCTGCAATCCTGTCTTCAAGGTCTGAGATTCTATCTTCACTTTCATTAAGGCAGTTTTTACAGCTTTCAGTGGAGTTTTTTATTTCCTGTATATCTCTGTGCATCTGCATTATGTATTCTGTTTGTTTCTTATATTGCTCGTCTAGGGATTCTATCTTTTTGTTTAGTTCTTCCAATTTTTTATCTGTGTTTTCTTTAGATATATTCAAAATCTCTTTCATTTCTTTTATCATTTCCTGTTTTATCTGGTAGATTATTTCGAGTTTGAATTTCTTTAAAGCTTCCTGGGGTTGCTTGTCAATTTCAGTAGCTATTTTGTCCGATATTTGAGGTGGATGGGATATATTTTCTTCCATATACATTGCTCCTAGGGTTTCTTGAGATGGGCTGGAGGTTTGAGGTTGTAATTTGGTCTTTCGTTTTGTCATTTTCCTATATTTCTGTGTTTCAAGGGTTATTTGAAAGCTTCCTCAGGCTCTGTTGAAAATCCCCTTCTATGTTTGCAGCTACTGAGACTCTGGCACCACGCTACCCCAAGCCATTGGGCCTGCAGAACCAATGGCCCTCCTCTGCCTGCTCAGAACTCTGCAGTTCCAGACAAGCTGGGCCTCAGGGACACTGTGCGCCCACCTGCCCCTTGGAAGCTCCACAGCTCTTCAATCGCAGCCGGGTTAGGGTACTCACCACAGGCCGCAGTGCCTCAGGAACCTGTGATCCCTCCCTGCTTGCAGAGATATCCACAGTCCTCCAGACACACAGAGAGGCCGATGCAGGTACCCCAGATCCACCCAGCTCCTCCTCTGCACACCGATGGTTAGGCGCGGCAGCGAAACAGGCTGGGCTCCGGAGATAGTGTGGGCCCGCCCACCCGTCGGAAGCTCAGCAGTTCTCCAAGTGCAGCCGGGATGGAGAGGCGGATGTAGAGGCCTCTAACTAACTACTCCACTTCACTGCACCCGGAAGCCTGGAGGGTCCGGAACAGACTGAGATTTGGGCAGAGTGTGCTGAGCACTCACCCCAGGCCGCAATGCCTCAGGAACCTGCGATCCCTCCCTGCTTGCAGAGATATCCACAGTCCTCCAGACACACGGAGGGGCCGATGCAGGCACCCCAGATCCGCCCAGCTCCTCCTCTGCCAATTCCATTAATCTTAATATATTTTTAGTAAAGAGGTTATAATAAAGAAACCAAAGGGAAGTGTGGTGGCAACGTCTGTAATCCCAGCACTTGGGAAGCTTCTGTAAGAGAATTTCTTGTGAGTTCAAGACCAGCCTGGGCTACAAAGTAGAGTTGAAGGTCAGCTCGAACTGCAGAGTGAGACCTTGTCTTTAAAAAAGAAAAAAGAAAAGGTGAAAAATAAAAGAACGAAAAGAAAAAAAAACCAAGGTATTCTTTATATCATATGTACAAATTACCAATGGATACCCAGATGATAAATATTTATTTTCTTTTTTTTCCTTTTTTTTTTTGAGATACAGTGCCACTATGTGTGGTTCGAGCTAGCCTTGAACTACTTTGCAGCCTAGGCTGGTCTCAAATTGGCAACAATCCTCCTGCCTCAGTCTTTTGAGTGCTGGAATTACAGGCCATGAGCCACCAGGCCCAGTTTTATTTTCCTTTTGTTTGACTGTACTCTAAATTAAAATGAGGGAGCACGCGCGTGCGCGCACGCACACACACACACACACACACACACACACACAATGATAATATACACTGAAAACTCTTTAAAGATCCACATTAAGGTCAAGAAATAATAAGACTGGGCCAGGGGTTTGTTTAGCTTAGTAGTACAAGTGCCTACCTGGCAAGAGCAAGGCTATGAGTTCAATCCTCGCTACCAAAAAAAAAAAAAGATAGAAATCAGACAACTAGGCAATGTGAATTCAGTCATGGACACAACAAAAGACCCTCAAAGCAAGGCCACTAAGTGTCACAGAGGTCAGGAAAGATCTTGGCTCAGGGGGTCTGGGATGCCCTTCCCTCAATATTCCCAGCAAGATCTCGGGTGAACCCAGCCTAGCTCCTTAGTGCACAGTGCTTCCACTGTGACAGGAAAATCAAATCAGTGCTTTCACCTAGAGATACGCTTAACACAAAGAGACTACAGAAAAAGAAGGAATGCTTTAAGCTATCTTTTGTCAAATTTTCATTTTCAATCAGATAAGCATTAGGTAAATATTAAATTTCAACAATGCAAATCTACTTCATAAAAATGTATTTGTAGGACAGTAACTTGTACTTTCCAAGTTTAATTTAGTTACCTCTGCTTCTACATCCACATTTTGCTTCAAAAGTAACTTCAAAATATCAACGTGTCCATTTTGACTAGCAGCTTGCATAGCTGTGTGGCCAGCACACTGTCCATTCACCTAAATCCAAAAAGGTAAAAAAGAATGAACACGTGTCATAGATAGAAAGACTCATCATACACACATAGTAAAGCACTGTATAATTCCACGAAAATAATTTAAGTTGATACACCACAGATAACTGTAGAGAACCAGAAGCTCTTTAATTTAAAGAAGGGCAAGAATTTTTTAAATGGAATTTCATTACTGAAGAGCTGTGAAAGGTTTGTTTAGTCAATCTATAAAGTTGAAAGAAGAAAGCGGGAGGGCAAGTTAATTTTGTATATACGACATATGTACTTTTTTTGGATTATTAAATCTCAGAGACCATGATTAAATGAAAATCAGCACTGAGGCTTTAATATTTAGATCTCTGATCCATTTTGATAGTAGTTTAGCGCATGGTGAGAGTCATGGCTCTGGCTCTAGTTTTGGACTTCAGTATGAGGAGAGCTAGTTTTGCCAACACCACTTATACAAGAGCCTATCTTGCTTCCAGTGAAGGTGTGTGGCTTCTTTGCCAAAGATAAGGTGGCTAAAAGTGTTTGGAGTTGTTTCTGCATCTTCTCTTCTGTTCCATTGATCCTCGGGTCTGTTTTTCGTTTGGTTTGGTTTCCTTGCCAGTACCATGCTGTTTTCATCACTGTAGCCTTATAATGTAACTTCAAGTCAGGGATCATCATCATGCTCTCTACCATGTCTTTGTTGCAGAATTGGGTTTTTTTGTTTGTTTAATTTTATTTAAGGAGAAAAAGAAAAAAAAAACAGAAAAAGGGTACAAGCTATACAGAATTTCAGAAAAAATAAACAGGAGGAAATCACTAGTTAATAGGTTACATATTCTCATCTTAGAAATAGTTGTTCAAGTTACAAAATTAAAGCATATACAGTGGACATTCAAACAGTGAGACTGCAAATAGTTCTTTCAATGATCCAACAAAACTCAGTAATATGGTTATCTATCTTATACACTTAAATATACATGCAGTTATAGCCTTTAGAACACTTTCTTTTCCTCTCTTTTGTACAATGACAATTACACATTTTGGGTTTTATTACTCCCACAGTTCTTATTACTGTTTTGAAGAGAATAAAACCAATAAAACCAAAACATTGGAGATATTACAGGACTTCAAAAGCAGATAACAGTCAAACCAGAATGGGCATCATAATGAATCTTACTGTCTTCACAGTTGTTCCCTATACTCTCGAACTTGGTAGTATCAAGCAAAACAGAATAGAGGAAAATCAGTCAAAACAAGGTGGTAAGAGCAATACAGGGTTTCAAATCAAGTTAATTGGAAATCAAAGTGGATTACTATAATATATCTTGCTATTTTTTTAATTTTTCCCTTAATTAAAAAGATAAAAATAGAAAAGTAAGTAATAAAAAAAAGGAGATTGAGATAAAAAAGGACAATATAACAAAACAGCACAGGTCAAAACATAACCATTTAAGCAAAATAGTGTTTCACCACCAGATATCCCGACATAAAAGTAGTTACCATAGTGTCTCTTTCCTTGAAATCTTTGAGTATAACTTTGTATACTGTAGCATCAAACATATCAAGACAATGTAAAACCAATCAAGAGAATGACAGTATTACAGGGTATTTAGAACCAACTAACAGAAAATGAACAATGGTTTCTGTATAATCTCCTTGTCTATAACAGTTTTTGTTTTTATTATCACATATAATAAGATCCAATAAGATACAACATGTTAAGACCGATGGAGACAGAACAACAAAAGCTTGATGGGACTTCAAAACAAGATGATAGGGGCTGGGGATTTGGCTCAGTGGCATAAGTGCCTGCGTTGCAAGCAGGCAGTCGTGAGTTCGATCCCCGGTAAAAAGGACAAAGACCAAAAAAAAAAAAGATGATATTAAATCAGTACTAGCTATTATGATGTCTTGTTTTCTCCAAAATAGCTGTTCCTACCATCCAACCTTCTCTGCCTCATTTCTGTTGAGCTCTTTTTCTGTCATTAGTTGTCAGTTTGTCTTCTTCATTTTGCTTTCTGCTCCATTCATTATGGCCTCTCTGCCACTGCTTCAGGAATCTTAGTACTTTTTTTGGAACGTCCTGCAGTATTCTCTGTAGAGTTGAATTGGTGGTTGCAAATTTCCCTAGTTCCTCTTTATCCTGGAAGCATCTTGTTTTTCCATCAATTTCTGGGGACAGTTGTGCAGGATATATCAATCTTGGCTGGAGGTTATTATCTTTCAAAGCTTCAATTATTTCGCCCCACGCTCTTCGTGATTTGATTGTTTGTGCGGAGAAGTCTCCTGTAATTCTGATGGGTGTTCCCTTGTAAGTGATCTGTTTCTTGTCTGTGACAGCTTTAATATTCTGTTCTTATATTGGATTTCTGGAATTTTGATTATTATATGCCTGGGTGTAGTTCTGTTTGGGTTGTAGATGGCTGGGGTCCTGTATGCCTCATACATCTGAGTATCTTTACGTTTGGTTAAATTAGGGAAATTCTCCTGGATTATTTCTGTGAATAGCCTTTATAGTTCATCTGTTTGTGTCCCTACTTCTTCTTTTACGTTCTTAAGTTATAGATCCTCTTATCATCTTCAAGCCTTTGTATTATTGCTGTTTCTTATTTTTAAAAAGTTTTTCATTTCATGTTCCCACATTACAAATCTGTCCTCCAGTTCAGATAATCTATCCTTAGTTTCTTTCAAGCTGTTATGCCAGTTTTCAATAGTTTTTAGTTTCCTGGTAATCTCTTTGAACCTGCTTCACGTATTCTATGTTTTCTCCATTTCCTCCATCAAACAATTCTCCCTTTTTTTCTTTCTTCCATTCCACCATCTGTTTTTTCTTGGGCGATGCTTAGCATTTCTCTAACTATTCTACTTATATCTTGCTTTAGGTTGTTAAATACTTCACTTTTGAACTCGTCTGTGAGGCTCCAGAGATACTGCTTTATGTCTATTGGTGGCGTGTCTGATATTGCATGTTTCTCAGGATTGTGGGCCAAGGACCCTTTCTTGTTGCTCCCACTTCCCATACTTTTTGTTCCTTTCATATAAGCTTATATAGGAGGCCGAATTTTTTTCTCTTTTTGGGTTATAATTTGTTTGAATCCCGCCCACTGCAGGGTACTAGGGAGACAAAGACCTGGGCAGCCTCTGATGGGCCCGCCCCTCCAGGTCAGTCAACCTACTGAAGGCTTCACTGCTAGGGTGCACCACCAGGTGCTGGGACCTGGTTTGGGCTAGTCTACTGGGTCTTAGTCCACGGCGTCACCCAGGCCAAGTGCTCCCCACCAATCCCGCTTGAGAGAGGAATATGCAACTTAAGTCACCGCAGCTAGTCTGCCAAATCCCAGAATGTGGTCTGTTGGAGCCTCCTAGTCTATAGAAGGGTCCCTGTTCCTCTCACTCACTGCAGGTCGATGCAGGGCTCCCCACAAGTACCACTCTCAACTCTGTAGGCCGATTCCCACTCTCAGAGCTTTTGCACTCTGTCCCTGCTGTGCGGATTCAGACGCAGCAGCAGTGGCAGGAAATTCAAATCGTGTCTTCCAGAGGTGAGGGTTTCAGGTTCAGCACTGAGATTTTATCTGTTCCGCTTATAGCACCGAGATTGCATTTCCAGTTGGTTTCTCTCAGCTTAATTCGTTCCTGGGTCGGCAGGGTATATCTCCCCTTGCTCAGGACTCCTCACACCGCACCATTCCTAGATTCTAAGCTGGCTAACTCAGAGAGCCTCCATAGCTGCTGTTATCTATCCGCCATGTTCTCCCGGAAGTGCAGAATTGTGGTTCCAAACAAATTTTAGTATTATTTTCTCTAACTCTGTAAGAAATGTATGCTACTGGTACTTTGATTGGGACTATATTAAATCTGTATAGCCATTTTGGGAGAATGATCATTTTCACTACATGGACTCTTCCTACTCAAAAGCACAGGATATCCTTCCACTTTCTGATAACCTTGTCAATCCCCCTTTTCAGAGTACTACAGTATTCAACACAGATTTTCCTTTGTTACACTGATTCTTAAGTATTTCACTTTTTTCAGTGCTGGTTTTGCTAGTTTCTCTTTCAGTGAGTTTGTTCTTTGTGTACAGGACTGCTATTGATTTATGAGTGCTGACTTTATATCCAGCTATGCAACTGAATTTGCTAGAAGAGAATAACTCTTCAAGACAAAGACTTTATGAACAAAACTCCACAGCATGGGAAATAATACAAAAAATTAACAACTCGGATCTCATTTAAAAGCTTTGGCAGTGCAAAAGAAATCACTGCAAAGAATGAAGAGACAAGTCACACAGTGGGAAAAAAATTTTTGCCAGCTGTTTCTCAGAGACTAATATCTAGAATATTAGAATTCAAAGCCAGGCGTGGTGGCACACACCTGTAATCCTTGCACTCGGGAGGCTGAGGCAGGAGGATCATGTTGCATTCAAGACCAGCCTGGGTTACAAAGTAAACTCAAAGCCGGCCTGAACTGCATAGTGAGTCCTTGACTCAAGAAGACGACCCCTCCAAAAAAAACCCTCAAGAATACACCCAAATCTAAAGACCCTACCCAAAAATGGCATCTGAAATCAATACACAATTCTCAGATGAAGAAATATAAACAGCAAATAAATATATGAAAAAATGTTCAACTTCACTGGCCATTAGAGAGATACAATTTAAAACAATGTTGAAAGAAAAAAAATGCTGAGATTACATCTCATTTCAGAAAGAATGGCTATTATTATCAAGCATCAACCAATAACAAATGCTGGATCTGTGGAAAAACAGGAACCCTTCGCCACTGTTGGTGCGAGTGCAGACTGGTGAAACAACTGTGGAAACCAGTGTGGAGATTCCTCAAAAACTCTAGAACTAGAGGATCCATTTTACTCAGCTATCCCCTTCTAGGTGTCTTCCCTGTAAGTATTAAAAGCATTATACTATATATATGGTATCTATGGTATATTTACATACATACATATACATATACAACCATCCATGTTTATAGCTGCAGTTTGTAATAACCAAATCTTGG